TCAATTCTTTATTAAAAAGAGTGTACTTTTCTTCCTCAAGTTCGCAATAGGCCAATATCAGGGTCCTCAAACCAGCATCTGAATATTCCTTAATGTGCTACTTAGTCTTTTTCTCAAACTCACTTCCATTCTTCGTAAGTCGTTCAAACATGACACTAATGTTGATAAACACAAAATAGAAACAGTTAAATATTATCAATTTCCAAATCAGTGTGATTTCTCAAGGCCGCAGCTTGCTAGAATACACAATTGAAAAAAACAAACAAGCACAATGAATCCTCAAAAATCACATAGTAATTAATCATAATGTATCTAAAATAGGCAAAAGTCATCATAAAAGTGGCAGCATACTTGTGAAACCAGTACAACTTTGGGAACCAAAAAAACTGCAATGTAAGGAGAAGGATTTCGGAGGTAATAAGCATAGCTTCTAAGAAGCATAATTGCAATCAAAGTCTTTGCAGAACCAGTCTCTAAATACACTATAGTATTTTCATGAATCGCTCTGTCTAGTGCTTCAAGTTGATAGCTACAAAAAAAAATCAGCAACACATAACATCAATTTTCGCAATCAACATTACTAATGAAAGGTTTTTTTCTTAAACTCTTGGACCGACTAACTCGGGGATCAATTCAGCTGTCACTAGAAGAATTCGAAACCGAAACCTAGAAAGTAGCAGACTCTTAGATCCCAATGAAAGGATTTAACTAACCTTCTAGCAAACGAAAGAGTATCGGGCACAACCTGCCTCTCATTATAGTCATTCATTTCCATGAGAGCTTCTTCCATAAAAGTGGAAGTTGAGAAGGATAGTGATTAAAGAAAAGATTGACAAGAGCACAGTACTCCTATTCATGAAACTAAGCAATATAAGTTAAATGATATAATAAAACATCAAAGTTACAGGTAAGGCAAAGTCTCTAGTAGTACCTTATATCACCAAAAATTGATGAACCCTCTTCGAGAAACTGAGAAAGCTTGTGAGGAGGAACGTAAAATATTTGTGTTGTTGTTTGCTCCGCCGAAGCCATGAGCCTTTTTCTTCTTGATCCCGAATTTTTAGGAAGAAACCCAACTGGAGAAATATATGTGATAAGTAAAATCACCTTAGCCTGCATTGATTAGTAAAACCAACGGCGAAGCAACATGGCTACTCTGATTTTGATTTTGGTGGATAGAATCTGATGGTAGTTGATTTTCGACAGAGAAGTGAAGAGAGGCGTGGGTTGTTGTCACTGTGGAGGGAAGGTGGAGCTTTTAGGGTAGAGGAGATGAGAGGAAATAGAGAAAAGGAAAGGGTGTCGCAGGTGATGGTTAAGGGATTGATGAAGGAAAGATTTGGGTGATGAGGTGGAGAGTTGGAGGAGGAGAGAACGAAGATGGAAATGTGTGTTGGAAACGGTGTGGTGGAACGGATTATTGTGAATAAGAAGGGTTTGTTGTGAAGAAGAAGGGTTTGAATAAAACTTCTTAGGTCAGGTGGACAATACCTGACTTAATAAATATGTTTTTAAGTCGTTTAATGAACACAGGCGACTTAAGAAATTTAATACGAATTATATTTTTTTCTTTAATTTTTTTTAAGTCAGTTCTAAATGTAATTGACCTAACAATGTTACAAATATTTACAAAATTGCCACCGCATCACTTTTTAAGTCAGGTGGCAGGTGAACTGACTTAACAACCTCTATTATAAAATATTTTTTCTACTAGTGCTAGTAATGCTAAGGCTAGCATACACCAACTGAAACAACATTTGTCTTTCCACTTCAAGACTAGAGATTTGAGTCCACTAAAATATTTTTTGGGGATTAAAGTCGCTTAATTCAAGATTGGTGTGATTATTACTAAAAAAACCCGCTCTTAATATATTTGAGAAAATTATATTGCTTGATTACCAACCCAGTGACACTTCTATGAATCCTAACATCAAGCTATTACCAGGTCATGAGGAGCCACTAAAAGACCCTGATAGATACCGACATCTAGTTGAAAAACTTAATTACCTCACAATGACCGGACCAAACATTACATTTGTTGTTAATAGGGTTAGCCAATTTTTAAATGCTCCATGTAATGACCATTGAAATGTTGTGAATCATATTCTTCCGTATATAATATGTCGGGTATTAGATTACTTTATAATAGAAAGGGTAACATCCAAGTCGTGAGTTATTCTAATAAGATAGAAGTTCTACTTTAGGTTATTGTATTTGAAGAAAATTTAATCTCATGACCGAGAAAAAAACATAACATAATTGCAAGCCCTAGTGCAAAACGAGAATATCATAACATGGCAGCAACATCATTTAAACTAATGTGGCTAAAATAATTACTCGCACAACTTAAATTAGAAAACGTCAAAACAATGAAACTAATTTGCGACAATCAAGTTGCGCTTCATATTTCTCTAATTTGATCTATAACATATATAAAGGCAAGACTTAGTTTTTGGTGTAGCTTTTTTTATACCAAATTTACCCTTATTTTAAAATATATAACTTACACAATAACTTCCATTGAACTACTACTATCATCTTTCATATCATATAACTCCCTACTAATAACTTCCCACATAACTTCTATGTAAAATTAATATTAAATAAAAATATATCATTTATATTTATGTGTGCAATAAAAAAGCGGACAGACGGGCACGCGAGTGCCCGTCTGGACGCTAGTAATATATAAAGGGAATACTTTGCTTTGGTGTAGCCTATTTTTCTACCATTTTTACCCTTATTTTATTGTGTAGTATAATCTATAACAATATATAAAGCCAATACTTTGTTTTGGTGTAGCTTTTTATTTTCCAATTTTGTCCAATAATTCACACTATTATTCCATTTAACACCCTTTACAAAAATCAACTACATAGACATAGACGGTTATATCAAAATAATAACTTCCCATTCCCATTTAACCCATTTATTTAAGAAGAAAGAGAATGAAACAGGGAAAGAAAAGAGAACTAAGATAAAGAAAAGAAAGATATCCAACTTCTATGTCACATTTAATCTAATTGTAGAAAACATTCATCAAGAACAAAAGAGAAAAGAGAGAAGGAAGTCGAGATAAATGGTGGACATGAGGATATTGTAAACTACTATTGATATTTGGTATGTTTGTAACAACTTCTCTAATTTTCTCTAATTTAACTTCAATTTTCTTTAATTTTGATTTCTTTTATTTAAAGGTTATCTCATATTTTTAGTTGCTTAATTATCAAAAGAAAGAATATGGAGATATAAAAGGATGGAAGTCTGTGATTATCGTGGAACAAGAAACAAAGAAGAAAGAATACGTCATTTATTATTATTATTATTTCTTTTTTTTTATCACTCTCGCATTTCCTTTTTATTTCTTCTGCCTTGGATCCTTTTTTTTTGTTTTTGTTAACACAACATTAGGTGGAGGCAATTGCATTTGTTGATTTTTTTCCCATTTAAATGTAGTTACGTTACAATTTTCACACTCATTTTGAATAAAATGCATTTTTAAATAAAGATTCGTTGTCTTTGAAGTAAAAAATAAAAAGGAAGAGATCTACTGAATGTTTGTAAATTCATTGTTATTACTTTACTTTTATTGAGATGAACTGCAATATTTACAATGTAAAAATTGTAAATGCGACTCAACTTTCTAATAAGTGTTATTGATAATGTATTTTATTGAGCCATTCAACATTGTTTTCAAGCTTCAAGTTGGGATTAACCGTGGTTACAATTATGGAAACAAAATTACTCATAAGTTGTTTGACGTAGGATTTTCCTTATGGTAACATAATCGTTGTATAAGTATTTTGAGGGTCGTGTTAGAGAAAACCTCCACAGAAACAAGTTTTTCTCCAATTTTTGAACCATGCATGTTTCTTGATTTAAACTATTGTTGTATGGAAACTCTATTGTATGTTTGACTGGTGGAAACAGTTACAGAATCTATCATAATTCGAGTGAAATTAAAAAGCAGTAACCATTTGGTGATAAGTTGTTTGACATTTCTATGTTGCACTTGAATTTGTTATACAAAAAATCACTATTTATATTTTATACACATTAACTTAAAAAAAAAGGACAATTAAACCTAAAAGGCATGAAAATAATATATAAGACATAATTATTTATACATAATAAACATAATTAAAAAAATATTGTACAATTTTCTGCAGTTATTAGACATAATTATTTAATGCATTTACATGTGCTTACTTGAAGCATTAATATGTCATATTTTATAAACTATTCCCTATATAAATTCCGCTATGGTTTTGATTAATATGATGTTATGATATTGTAATGCCCATCTGGTATATATAAAACTATTATATTAATTTTGGGTTTATATTTAATCTAAATATCAAATTTAAACAAAGAACAGTTATTTCAAACATAAAGTATTATTGCACCAAAAGAAAAAGCAGTTATCCAGAAACCTTCCCCAAAACCTCCCCTTTCTTGGAGCGCGCCGGTTTTGCATCAGAGGGAGTTGGCTCTAATATTTTATAGCATATTCATATAGTTATAATATTTTATTCCATGTATTTTCTATAACCTTATGTTTTTTATTGTTATTTTTTAAAATGAGAGAAATCTTCGTATAAATAAATATACATTTATTTTACTTTTTATTTTATTTTATTGATATTTATTTATCATATATTTAATGCAAAATTAAGTTATAAAACACAAATTCAATTATTATTATTATACGTGATTTTTAAGGTGACGTTTTAGTTTCTATAACGGTAACATAAAGGGTGAAATTCATTGTTATTTCACAATAATTAATTTGGAATTTATGGGAGAAATTTTTTTAAGAAGTAGAAGAATGATTAGATGGAGAGTGAATTAATAATTAAACATTGTTGGGTAATTGTGAATTGCATTATGTCATATCGTATCTATAGTACATGACACATTCATTTTTGTACACAACACATTCATTTTTGTATTATAAAATTTTTAAATATTACATTTAATTTTATAGATAAAATAGTATAATGGAAAATATCCGTAGTCAAGATTTAAGAGAGCGTCAAAGGGAAAGACGAGTACAACATGCAAGAGATCGAAGACAACGGATGAGTGTTGAGCAAAGACAACAAGAATTAGCTAGAAGGCGTTCGAATTACAGACAAAATAAAGACAAAGAGAAACAAGTTCAAACATATAATACTTCAAATATGAGAACCATAATGCCATTTCAAGACTTGACGAATGTCAATCTTGCTTCTCGATTGTTTTCAATGGCACATGACAGTGAAGCTGGACCGAGTAATGCACATGTCAGTCACATTCCATCCCTGGGTTAGAAACTTTAATTTTTGTTATACATTATACTTTAACACATTAAATTTAAAAAATATTAATTAATTATGCAAAAATGATTGTCTAGTCTATTAATTCAAAACTAATTTACAGATCAAAATTTTCCATGCCTAAATTTTCAACAAACTGATAACAACGAAGCAAGACCATCTATAAGAAATATTTATGACAATGATTGTGGTAAGTATAATTCTGTCAATAATAATCACATTAATAGTAATACATATTTAGATTTATACATTATTGTTATTTTTAAACTATAACTCTATATTGAAGTTAATACTTTATTTTGTAGAATCACCTTCGCAAAATATGAATTCAACGGTTGAAACTCACGAAACACAGTCAGTTTTTGATCAAGGTACAATTATGTATTTCTAATCTATAATATATATTGTATTTTTTTATTTAAACTGTACTAGCGCCCAGACGAGCACTCGCGTGCCCGTGTGCCCGCTTTTTAAATGCACACGTAAAAGTTTAAATGAATTTTTTTTTTAATATTAATTATAAATTTCATGTTAGTAAGCATTTATATAGTAAGTATACTTTTTAATGGATGTTTTAAATGTAATAAAACACAGAATCATGGTATGTTTTTCAAGCAAGACATAACATTGCTAGAAATTTTCGAAATATTGTTATGACAATCAAATCCCTACTGCCTACTTCAAGTGAGTGTAGACGATGCACTGCAAAATTGTTTCATAAAGAATCTCAAGATATGTGTTGCAAGGGTGGAAAGGTGACAATTACACAGTCGCCTGCTCCTGATGAGTTGTTACAGTTATTTTCAGACACTTCTACTGAACGACGGCATTTTAGACAACATATTAGAAGTTACAACCATGTAATCGTTTACTTCACTTGGTGTCCACATCGACGAAAGTTTGGTTACAACTGGTCGTGATATTTACACATTTCGTGCTTAAGGCACAATTTATCACAGAATAGGAGGTTTTCATCCGAATCAAGGTTCAAAGTCACGCTACTTGCAGCTATACATTTATGATACTGATTGTGAGCTTCAAAATAGGATGAGGGAAAACCCAATACTTAACCAAACCATAGTGTATAAATTGCAAAAAATATTCCATCAATGCAACCCGTTTGTCATCATGTTTAGGCAGCTTGCACTAGAGCCAAATGTTGAAGAATGTAGGTTACTCATTAAAGAACGTCCGTCAAATCAGACACAATATAGTCTCCCTTTAGCTTCTCAAGTTGCAACAATTGTTATTGGTGGTGGTGATGAAGATACAATAGAACGTGGAAGAGATATAAATGTCGTCAGCTGTGATGGAAATCTAACAAAGGTTCAAGAAATAATTGGGTATTATGATCCTTTACAATATCCTATATTGTTTCCGTTCGGAACATACGGTTGGGACATAGAAACAAAAAATAATGTTGGAAAAAATGTTACATGTCGAGAGTACTACAGTTATGTGCTTCAGGTACATGATATACTTTTTTTAAAAGAAATTTACTTCTAAAAGTGTAAAAAAATAGGTCATGATTGATTATTTTATTCAATGTAGATTCGACATAATGATCAATTTGTATTGTTAAAATCGGGTCGACTTTTAAAATAGTATGTTGTAGACAATTATGTAAAGATTGAAACAGAAAGGTTGAGATGGATTCGAAGAAATGAAAATAATATTTAGTCTGAGGTATATCAGGGGTTACAAGATGCATTGCATGATGGGGAGAATAACGCAGGTATTTAATATAACATGTTAAATTTTTATACATGAAGAGCATCCACTTTGTGAGAAAGATTTTTGTTCTTCTTCTATCTAAATCTTCTTATGGTTTTGACTAATATATATATATATATATATATATATATATATATATATATATATATATATATATATATATATATATATATATATATATATATATATATATATATATATATATATATATATATATATATATATATATATATATATATATATATATAAACTTAATGTTTCATCATATAAATCGTTTATATTAAAATCAATATAAATAGTTTATAGTAAAATTAAATTTATAAAAAAATACGTTGTTAATATTTTTGCGCGTTAGCGCAATAAAAAAAGCGGACAAACGGGCACGGACGTGCCCGTTTGGACGCTAGTATTTCATAAAACAACTAAGCTTAACTACAACCTTGTAAGAGATAATGTTCTTTTAAGACAAAATCATAATTGATTGTGTTGGTTCAAATGATCAATTGACTAACATAATTATTAAATTCTTTAGAGGGTATAAAAAGCTTGCTGCATAGGATATTTATACTTCAGTTTGAGAAGGAATGTTATAATTAATTATAACCGGGGATATTCTACCGGAATTGTTAGTATTCATGGATTAAATAACTTCCTAGTTATCGCTTATTCATTAAAATATAATATATTTATAAGCAATGCGATCTAACTAAAAATACACCGTAGCCGTATTTAATACTGTATTTGATATTTATACTCTTTACATTAAAATTTTAAATTCATTACAAGATTCACAACATGTAACACGCATTAAGAAAAATAGGAGTAATAGCCACAAACAATGACCACAGAAATTGTGTTGGATTTGTATCTTTTCATTAAATTTCTTATTTTCCATATATAGCTCGTGCCAAATTGCTGAAAGCTGAAATTCAAAAGTTGGAGCAGCACATAGTAGTAGAACATGACACATGGACTAAGAAATTGAAGCAATCATACACCTTTTCCACTGTCTTTTATCAAATTAATTTTATATATGATTGCTACTAGTTTTCATGTTCTTCCATTCTTATCCTTTTTCTTATCTTCTTTGTTTCCATTACCGTCCACGCAAATTTGGTTACAACTTTGAAACACAACAATGGAGAGCTGTCGTATATGATTTTAAAGTTTATGTTTGACTTTTTTTAATGCTGCTAAAAAGTGTATCTTTGTCGTTACATGCTTGATTGTGTCTTAAAGCTTACTAAATCTTTCTATTTCATTTTTTGTTGACATTTATTTCTAGGTATGTTTAATATAGACTCTTATCGTTTTTTATAATTTTTTAAAATAACAAAAATAGAAAAAATATTTTCTTAAATTTAAATATTGTATTAAAATTACTATACGGAATTTATGTTTCAATTAGAAGGGTGGAGCCAATACGCATACGAAACACATGAATTAAATATGCTCACATTGATTTGGATTGTGTTTCTAGAAACTTTTGAGGATGCATCATACATGACACTAGAGTTAATCACTATACATAATCATACATATTGACTTAAAACTTTTTTGGTGTTGATAAAATTGACAATTAGAAATTAAAAAGCAATAAGTCGCGCCACATATCAATCAAGAAAATGGTAATTAAAGAGACTTGTGACCTTAAAGGTGCATGCAGTTTAGAGACTTGTTGATGGCAAATTTGAATGTGATAATAACTTAAGGAATATGGGTTGCGTTATCTTTTTCCTTTTATACTATTATTGATTTATGAAAAACAATTAATTAGATCAAACAATTAAACAAAATCGTTAATAATGTATTGAACATTTAAAACTGACAATTATTAAGATAAAATGTTTGTTAGACTTAACTTTTTTTAGAAATGAATAATTTGAGATAGAGAAAGTCTTAAACCTTTGAGTAAAGTGCTTTTTGTATTTAAGAAAATTAGGCTGCTGAAGCTTTTCTATGGTCCATGATGCATCAAATACGCTAGAACAACGTCACTTATTCTTCTACTATTTAAAGTTGCAATTTGCTGGAAAGCCATTTTGTTCCAATTTAGGCTTTTATATCCTTTATAATTGGGAATTTCTTATCTTATATGATAGAAAAAGACTATATGAAAATTTAAAATTTTTTATATGATTTTGAAAATGTATTTTTAAATGTACTTTGAGCTTCATGAAATATGCTTTAGGTGAATCTCACACAATATTTTTTTTTATTTTTAAGTTTAGTCTTTATTCTGAAGATGCATATTTGAAATCATCCTATCAATTCTTTTTTATTTTGATAATTCTACGACAAATACGGAACTGCATTTTCGAAATTGTGAAGTAGAAATTTAAAAACCTGCCACATTTACATGTCAATCAATTTCAGATGTACATTTTTGAAACTATCAAATGTTATTTTTGTTTGAATTAACAACGAAACTCCATTAATGCACAAGAAGAAGAACACACACAGAGAAACATTTTCAATATCAACAAACTCTATTATCTCAATCGTGTGTAACTAACTGAAACTAACTTCAGTTTATATACAATTTCAACCAAGCCATTTGAAAACTAAAATGAAACTTAAATAACACAAACTTGAATTTGAATTATATTTAACACAATTCCTTAATTCATATTCAATATTAAAAGTCAACAACACCAATTTCATCCCTAAATTGATGAAGTGGTCAATTTTTATTGCTTTGGTCAACACATCTGCAAGTTACTTCCGAGTGTTGCAGTTAACAACCTTAAGCACTCCATTCTAAACTTGATTGTGCAGAAAATGATACTTAGTATCAATGAGCTCGCTTCTTCCATGCATCACTAGATTCTTGATAAGACTTATGGCGATGTGTTGTCTATCATCAACCTGACTAGTTTGCTCACCTTGAACATCAGTTTCTGTGATAAATTCATAAGGCAAAAAACCTGACACACTAACAAAGCACCAATGATCAGTTCATTTCAATGCACACTCTCTTATGTTTGTACTTAGGTATTTCCCTAGTTTGTTTTGTTTATTTTACTGTTTTATTGTGTTTTTAGAATTTAGTCTTTTTTTTTTCTTTAATCTATTTTCGCATCTTATTTTCAGCTTTAGCGGTTATTTGATATCTGTTCACTTTTTGGATCATAACTGGAGCTGCGAGAATCGGATTTGCGCGTTCTAATAGGCGTTGGAAATTTAAGACAGACGTCTACAACTCTTATGTTTGAGGTAGAAGCTGATTCAGAGTGTAGCAGGTCCAAATAATTCGTTGAAGTCAGAACCCAAAATCTACCGTTTGAAATATTTAGTTTTGGGTCGGGTTTTTTATGCTTTTCGACCCAGTTGGGTTAAAACCAGAAGTGTTGATGCTTTCATATACCTAGCAGTCGTGCTACTGTCACTTTCACATTCTTTTTACGAATTTCATTGTGCTTTGTACGAATATCATGACGAACTAATCCCAAGGGGCACTATGCCGAATTCGAATACCACAAAACTTTGAGGTTATTATCAATTTTAATTTAACTCAGTTCCTTTCCAGTTTGTTCTATAATTTTCATTTGCTTAATTCGTTTCTTATAGAATAGATTGGATTTAATTCGGTTGATATATGTTCCTTACGTTAATCACGTTTGACTTAGTTTTTCGTTAATTCGCGCTATCTTTAAC